ATAATTATACCAATACAAAGCAAAAATCGAAAGTATAAACTTTTCCACTTACCCAGTCAATCGAATCTGCTTCTTTAGTTGAGCGCTGGAGCGACGAGGCTAATGTTGCTAACAAGACGTCAATAGTCACCCAAATCTTATCAACAAATACATCCACAAAACTTCTCTCAAACTCGCTCAGAGGTCTTGTCGATGAAGTGTAAAGCAGAACTGTGGTTCTGGACAAAACTGTAAAGCAGAACTGTGGCTCGCGAAAAGCTTTAATAATAATAAATAATAATAATAATAAAACAAAGGCTGTTACTGCAGCAAAAGGAGCAACAAACATCCTGTTAATACCCTTGATTTCAGAAGATACGTTAGATGAGCAGGTGTGAGCAACTTGTGTAGTGTATTTTTGCAGACACAGTGTTTTATGTTAGTTACTGTGCTATAAGCTTGTCCTCGTCCTTCAGCAGTGCTTCTTTCATGGCTTTTATTCATAGTTTCTTCACCACCAGCATGAGCCACAGCTGTTTTCCTCAACCGACCTTGTCACTGCTGATTGATAATTATACCACATGACAAACTTTCATATTTGTAAACTTTGTAAGGTAGACGCCAGGCAAGAACCAAGATCACACACACAGCGTACATTTACAGTATTATGATTATACACATACAGCCATTGCATTTGGAGGCACCGAAACTTTAAGCTCCGTTGGATGTCAATGGTTTCTCATAGTTCTTTAAGTTTCTGAAGAGTATGCAGACGTTGCAAAGCTTCAGTCCGTGATACGTGTTTCTTGAGGAGTTTGTAATGGGGGAGCTCTGCTATTCTGAGCTGATGTTCTGGACCCATTTCAAAACCATAATACAGCATGTGGTTTACATCTAGATAGCTGTGACAGCTGTGAACAGGTTTTTTTTCCTTTCAGAAAAGCATTTAGTTCCAGAACACCTCAGAAATATAAGGTATAATCAGGCAGGGGTGGAGAAAGTACAGAGAAATTATACTTTAGTGAAAATCTTACTCAAAAGTGGAAGTAAAAAGCTTTAAGTTTCAGGGAATTGTGTAAAATGTTTAAAATGTTTCTATGATACTAAAATTTAGTGTTTTATTAAACATCCAGGCAAGTTTCAATTAAAAAAAACAAATAAAATATTGCCAGACAACTGTCTGGGCGTGGCCTAATATTCTGATGACCATGTTTGATTGACATCCCTCCATCCAACACTTTCAGCCTGTTACGTTACTAAAGCAGAACTAAAAAAGATGCAAAAGAACCGGAGAAAAACAAGTTAAATGGGCCTTTGGTATACAGGTGGTGCTGTAGACAATCCCCAACGTCCACAGCTCAGTAAAACAATGTCCAACTTTATTTTTTGGTGACGGCAAAAATACATTTTTATTTACTTTCCTGCTGGATGTACATCCAGGGCATGCTGGCGTGGCTGGGTGGCCAAACAAATCGGCAATGGCCGTTCTTGCCAGCTCAGTTATGCTTGCTAGGCTGGCTTTCGCTTGGTGGTTAGCTTTCCCTCTGTATATTTCTCTCACTTGAACAGAGAGGAGATTGTTTTGAACACAGTCTTAAGGATATGTTAGCGGGACAATCCACAAGTCACCTTGTGACTGGAGAGAACATTGCTTATGGATGAACTACCCAAGATTAGGACCACCCACTTCACATCAAACACTGTAAAATGGCTCAACAGATCAACCTAAAAAAAATTACTTCATGTAGTAACAAGAAAATGAACCAGTTTTATTTAACTCATAAAATTACATAGACAAAAAAAAAATCATTCATTCAAAGTATTTATTTAGGCTGAATAAAACTAGTTTATTGTGATCACAAAGTAATTTTTTAGGTTGATCTGACGAGCCACCTTTACAGTGTTCAATGTGAACTGGGGGGGTTCACACATAAGCAATATTCTCACCAGTCACAAGCCATTGTGCCATTTTTGAGCCATTTGTTACACTGTAAAAAGTGGCTCATCAGATCTACCAAAAAAATTACTTTATGTGGTAACAAGTAATTGAACCAGTTTTATTCAATTTAAAAAACTACATTGATTGAAAGAATCATTCATTCAAAGTATTTATTTAGTTTGAATAAAACTAGTTAATTTACTTGTTACCACATGAAGTTTTTTTAGGTAGATCTGATGAGCCACTTTTTACAGTGTACAGTGGAAAAACAAGAATTTCAGCAAAACGCATCCACCATCTATTGGTCATTGGGAAGTTATGCATGAGACACACTTTGGTTCTCTGAGGCTTTAAATTTAAACTTTGCAATTGTTAAAAAAAAGCACTAAAATTAAACATTCAATTTCAATGATGGATTTATTTCATCTTACACTGAACCATTTACCTAAAGTGATTTTTCACACCTCATCTAACGTAAAGGGAAACCAAAGGTCAAAAATCAGATGTTTTATGTTAAAGACCACTGATTTTTTAAGTTCTAGTGAGTATTTTGAAGGTCTAAAACTGAAATGTTTTTGGAAATATAATTGTGTAGAAGTCCAAATATCCAATTCAGTTCCAATAACTCATTTCAAGTACAATTCTTCCAAAATAATACTTAAGTGTAGTAATGAAGTACATGAGTATTTTCCACCCCAAGGTAAATGTGATCTACAGGCGACTGTGGGGCCACTGGCTTTATGAACACAGCAATACAATTTGCTTAGGTTTATAAATTTAGCTGCAAGACACCCCCCCCCATCCCCCAAACCAGGCCATACCGACCCTTTCGATAGTCACTGTTTCAGAAAACCCACAAAAGTATTAATAGCAGCCACAGAAGAGTAGCTGTGACTGGTTTCTGTGCTAAACGTCTTTCACAAACCGAAAAGCAGATGAAGAAATGAAGACGGGGTGTTTTTAAATACTTTAATTCACAACTTCTTAATATTAACTAAAGATACAACACTGACATTTACAGCTTTCAAGGTCACAGATTCAACTGCATGAAAATGACCGTCCGGTAACAAAAAGAAGTCTGTACTGAATGTCTGAGTAGGGCGATATCAAGCTGTATTTGAATCGTTACTGCAGCAGACTGAAAGAGGGCTGAAAGAAAAAAAAAAAAGTTTATGATTTATGATGTATAACAGCAGGTCTGCAGTTTCAGATGTAACGTACCTCCCAAAACAACCAGTCCGATAATGATCCAGTATTAAAGGAACAGCCGATGGCTTATCTGAAAGGGTTCAGCTGTGCACAAAGATAACGTGATTTTTTTTATTTATCAAAAAGATCCAAAAAGGTGTTTGTTGACATTTATGCTGCAATAGTCTTGAAGAATACATCCATATCTAAGCCCATCTAGCTATGTATATTGTAGAGAATCGTTCAACTAAACTGCTCATATACATATGTATATATAACTTGGAAAAAAAAAAGCATTTTCAGCCATTTTTAGAAACGGACTGCACTTGAAAATGTGTTAGTCAATCCAGCATGTTTGTCACCATGGCAACATGGACACAAAACTATGTATAGTATAGAGAACCATCAGACAAACTGAACTGCTGAAAAATTTAGAACCCCAAGCGTTTCACGTTTTGGCTACATCGGCTGCGATTTCTGATGTCCGACCTAGAAGGAGGCTGGAATCTCACTCAAGTTAGACTTTAGACAAAACCTGCAGATGTAGGAGGGCTATACTCGCATCTGTTTATCAGTGAGAGAACTTTAAAGGTGTTGGTTGATCAGCTAATGCAGGCACAGCCCGAACTCATCCATGTCTGAGTAATTCCAAATACCCAAGGGGAAAGCTAGTGGCAACATTTGTAATTGTTAAGCACCAAAATACCAGTGTTGGCACATAAAGAAAAAAGGGTGGGACAAACAAAATAAAAAATAAAACAAAACAAAACAAAAAAAACACTGCACACAAATAACAGCAGCCCTCCCCAAATTGCTGGAAAGAGAAAGAATGAAAAGTACATTTTCATGCTTTCGAAAAGAGTAAGGCCATTTCTTTTGCCCTGTAATTCAATTATTCTAACAGTGATCCCAATCTACAGACATTAAAGGTGCAAGGGGTCAGACTTTCTGAACGCCTCCTTCCCCCTCGACCCAAAGCTACATCTGTTGCTTAAGGACAGATAGGTGTCAGTTACAATAAGTAAAAAATACAGCAGACGAAACATACAGGAACAGTCGTCCTAGAGCTGAGAATGTTTCCAGTCAGTTCTAAACATGTACAAACCCACCAGTGACATTATTAATGGTATGTAACCAGAACGTTACATAACTGCATTCCATGCTGAACATAAACATTGAGAACTTGACTTAACTGCGTAGTCAAAATACAGCCAATTTAAAAGAAAATTCCACCAGTTTTTCAAAATTTCTGCCTAATCAGTCATTTATAGTAGTTCAATTTGAAATGCGCTGGTCTAGAGAAGTCAGAATTGTTCACAGTGGTGGTGACAGGAACCAGATGTCTGGTTCCTCTAAGAGCTCCCTCTCAGTCATTACAAAAAACTGATGAATATGCTGCTAAATTCCTGAGAACTTGTTTTAAGAGGTTTTTTTGCGCTAAAACACCATATCCATTCTTGCCGGAGAGGTGCTGTAAGGAAAAACCATCATCAAAGAAAACTAACACTTTACTGTAGGGTACAGTTCATAAGGCTATGACACCCACATAAGCTTGCCACGACAACTGACATAACCCAATATAAATGTTTATAAATGATCATTCCAATAGGCATCATCCGTCCTAAAGGCTACTTAAGGTAACTTTGATCAAAACTGGCAAATGTAACCTTTATAGCGATACACAGCTACTGGAATAAGCATTTATAAACATTTATGTAGTCAGTTGTCATGACAAGCTTATTGCCGCTGTCGGAACAAAACCTTGTATCTCCATTTTTCAGTTTTTGACAATTTGAAAATGACTGTTCTCTTTTACATTGTGTATAAATCTCATGATGAATGGACCAAAGGAAATGACTCAGAATGACTCAGAAAAACATCTGGTTCCATTGACTTGAATTAAAAGTAAAGTACGGTTTTTCCTTCTCCTGTAAAGTCATAATTCTGGAGATAAAAGGTTTTGTTCCGACAGCAGTTATGTAGGTGTCATGTAGCCTTAGGAACCGTAGCAAACAGTACAATGTTACCAAGAAAACGTACTGTTTCAGATTTTTCACTATTTATCATCATGAACATCACATATGAAAACTCATTAGACGCGTGCAGGTGGTTTCGAATAGTACATAAAATGGCCATATTTGTGTCGCAGACACTGTGACTTCTGGTTCCCATCACCACCACTGTAAAGAAGTCAGCAGATTTCTCTACAACAAAGCATTTCACATCAAATCACTCATGTTTGTTTACATCTTAATTACTGAATCAACACAGCCTGTGCCACCACTATTATTAACCACTATCATCATATTGTGCCGGACAAAAGTCCTGCATTGAGGGGCAGGATTTCTAATGATCTTGACATTTACCTGTCCGTAACTCATTTATTAAAGGTAATTCTACCCCTTGCACCTTTGAAATCTTAAATAAAAAGTCATGCAGTCTATGCCTACAGACTCACACATTGGAAAGCAAGAGGCTATTTAAAATCAATAAAATAGCCAAGGATGTCCAAAAACAATAATAATAATAATAACTAAAAAAAAATCAAAATAATGTATGGTCTCTCCAAACAGTAGTCACTCTAGAAACCAATTCTTCAGGTTCTCAAGCAGTCTGTTCCCCAAAAAACAACAATAATTATAATGACAATGGAAAAAAAATAAAGTTCTAGGAACACTGCATAGTGACAAAATATGCTTTATCCTTCAGTTTACTTCCTCAAATTCAAGGCAAAAATCCAATGAATAAATGAAAGCAGGAGACACATTTATGTAAAGGAAAACCAAAAACAGCCTAAATTCCCTCTTTGGATCACTGATGTCAGTTACACTTGTGAATAATGCATAACTGGGGATAAGACCTCCAATCGGACTCAAATAATCACATTTCGATCCAAGTAACACCTCAATATAAGAAAACCTAACTGTATATGTGGATACAAAAGTCCCTTTCGATCTCTCTAGTCTACGCAGAGTGTAAAAGTGGCTGAATCTGTATCACAGGTGATAAATTAACTCTCAAGATCTTCTGAGCCTCTTTCCTCACCTCCTCATCAGTGACAGATTCATCCACTTTGATGACTTTCCACTGAAGACCATTTCCATTCAGTCTAGACACATCCTGGCCATTCGTGACGAGCGCTGGCTGAGACCAGCCTAAACCCTGGGCGTTCAGCCTCCTCACTGAATCACTGTCCGCACAGTCAAAGCCATTGCTCATCACAACAGGTTCGCCTGATACCGTCTGGACCTTTTTGGTGCCCTCCTTCAGGCTTATACCATTTTGACAAACAAATGGGGCAGAGTCTCCAATGAGGGCATCATCCACTTTGACTGGACAGGATAAGCCTCTTTTATTGTCCAGAGCTACTACGCTTGATGTTCGACCGCTGTTCTCTGACGGAGAGTGTGGTATCCCAGAGAGAGTTGGTGGGCACTGAATGCTGGGGTTAACTGTGCTTTGCGAGTCCACGCCAAAGTGAATTTGCAACCTTGCGGTATGGCCTCCCGTCAGGCCCTTTATGTTTGTTAATTTCAGGCACTGCTGTGCTTGGACAGAGGTTTCAGTCGGCACTGTTGGTTTTGATAGAACAGTATGCTTGAGAGTGTCCACCGAGAGATTGGTCAGTAGAATCTTGGGCTGGTTCTGGAGGATGGCCTTGGCTGCTGTACTGAGAAACGTGTATCCGACCTCTTTGTTCCTCGTCGGTAGCTTCCGTCCTCGCTTTTTACAAGGCTTCTGCACTCTCTGAATCCTACTGCCGATATCTGACGCGAGAGGTCGTGTTGTACAAGACCTGTATCCATATACATCTTTGCTCCTAAGCACCACAGGCTTATGGCCTTCATCTTTCAATTCTTGGAGAAAGGTCACCATTTGCCTTTCAGTGTCCAACAGATCCTTGGATATGGGATTGAAGACCTTCAGGGCCTCCTTGAGGGCAGTGTGGCCAGCTGCAGCAAATCTTGACCAGGAGAGAACTGCCCTCTCCATACCCGGCTCTTCACAATTCATGGTACCCATCCAAAGATGGGATGCATAAAGGTTTCAGGTGTCTGTGAACATGAAAGATATCAGATTACCTTTTGGAAACCCACTGGATGAAACATTTGCATCAAAAACACATTGAATATTCACTCAATTTCAAGGGCTTTAAAGCAATTCATCCACAGTGAAGTGTGTCTGGCATAACCGGCATAAATTCTAATCTCAGACTAAACTGCAAAATTCTTTAGAGTAGGCTTAACTTTAAATCATGGAGACTGGCCTTTAAAGCCGATCACTTTCCCATTGTAACTGTCCATTATAACAATTCTAAATGTTGGTATTTGAACAGCGGTGTTCAGCTATCTTAGTTAGGAAGGAAAAAAAAATGTCTCACTACATTAAGCCACAAGAATGTAGCCATCAGTGAATACCAGATTATTATAGTGCTAAAAATTAATGTTCAAGTACATGAAGGACAATTCTGTCGATTTACTAAAATGAACAACCCAAATATGACTTCACTTCTATTTGTCTACAAGTAATGGGCAAATCAAAGGAAACGCCACATGACTAACGACAAACATGACAATGCCAGTGAAGCTGATTCCCAAACTGCAGGTTCTCCAATTCACCAAAAGGGTTTGAGAGACCCTTAACAAGAAATCATAAAACTATGAGTTCAGAAATGAACTGAGTTTCACACACACACACACACACACACACACACACACTAATCCTCATAGGTTGCCAGTCTGTCACAGGGCAGACAGACACACAGACACACAGACACACACACACACACACACACACACACACACACACACTCACACACTCACAGCTAAGGGCAATTTAGTATCTCTAATTCAGCTGACTGCACGTCTTTGGACTGTGGGAGGAAACCAGAGTACCCAGAGGAAACCCACGCAGACACGGGGACACCACACAGAAAGGACCCTGTTGGCCCGGCCGGGGAATTGAACCCAGACCCATCTTGCTACCGACTGTGCCACCGAGCCGCCCAAAACTGAGCTTTACAAAGCTCAAATTTATGCAAGAGTCAGATCACTGTCTAAGGACAACAAAGATGCATAGTCTTCACAGCAACAGGGGGAAAAAAAAACAATCCTGTTTCATGTCCTGTTTTGTCTTTCACCTGTATTGTCCATTACCAACTGCTAATTTGAAGGAAATACCTGTCTTATTTGTCTCATTATCACAGGGTTAGTTCCCCAGATTTAAGAACTGCAGTTGTAGCACCACTCCTTAAGAAGGCGGACGCAGAAGCTCTAGCTATGAACCCATTTCAAACTTTACAACTTACAACATTTTTTGGTTAAACTCTGATGCTTCTGCTCAATTACAAAACCACCATTTTTCTATGTAATATATTGCATCTTTCCCAAATGATGGTTATGAACAATCTTTAAACAGCAGACTCAGGTGTTCACACTCAACACTTGACCCCAGTCACCCTCGTACACGACCGGAAAGAAAAATCGCGTGGATTATATGGTACTGTATCAGTTAACTGGTTTCTGACTTCCCTAAAAAGTCAAAGTCTGTCCTTATGAAGGACATCATGCTCTGCTCCAGTAACACAGGATGGTACTCAGGGATCAATTCTAGGGCCTATCCTGTTGCTTTAGTATGTGCAACACATCACTGCTGGTCTTTCAAAACCATATTGGATCCATGTTTATGCACATATTGGCACAGCTCCTGTTTACTCCATGACCTTGTCAGGCCCTACAAGTAAACCCACTCTCATCATTCTACTGGCAGCCTTGCAGTAACCTTGCTGCAAATCTAAAACCACAGGCAAGAGATCCTCCTCCTGAAGTCCCCTTAGTTGTGGAACAAGCTGCCATAAACCCAGAGATGCTCTAATAAGAAGAGGCTATGTAAAATTCCTTATTTAAATCAAGCTATAATTCTTTGATCTCCACTACTTCCTTAAAAATGTTCACCTGTTAGGCCAGTATCCCTAAAGCAGGCCTCGGCAACCCAAATGTTAAGAAGAGTCATTTTGACCTTTTAACAAAAAACCAAACCTCTTTGGGGGGCTCAACATATCATGTCCATTTTATTGTAACATTTTACCATTTTGGCTGAAAATATGTCTTGATATGTGCTAATGTTCTAGTATAGACTAAAAAATATAAATGAAAACACAGACTTTCTTTGCTCTGCTTTAAGCTTTAGCTCAGCTATAACCGCTTTTCTTGCATCTCTGGCAGGAAACTTTTCCTCAAAAGTAGAAGTTTCTTGTAAAATGTCACTCAATGTTAGACTTTTTATGAGGCTGAAGTCGCTTCTCATTCGCCAGCTTCTTGTTCGAATTTTCACGTTTCATCTTAAAAAGGTGGCTAAGGTGCCAGAATGTAACTGCTGTGCCATTTAAGGTGGAAAAGCAACACTTTAGTGTTCGACAGCTTCTCGTGGCAAATTAAACCTATCAGGAAACCAGCTGGAGTGCTTATAAATGCAAATAAGTCCATTTGTCTCCAAATTATCCACATTCATCATTTAAATTTTTCTCTTTGCCTTTTCATCAACTACTAACTAGTTGAAATTGTTGTCTGCGTTGCTATGGTGACCAGCAGCCTACGTACCAACCTTCAGCGTTAAAGGGTGCATTAGCAGTTATACATGAACTCCAGGGTTTAAGAACATTTATGGTTAAAACCGTGTTAGAACAATCAGCAGAGCTTTATTTTCCTGCAATGGAGGATTATTTTATTTTAACCTGCTGTGGAGCCACAACAGGGCAGTAAAAGAGCCGCATGTTGCCGACCCCTGCTTTAAAGCAACTTGGCCAGCTCTAGCAGTCACCTGAAACCTCTGATTCCAAAGGCAGACTACAAATTGCATCTATTTTTTGCAGAAAGAAAGTCAAACAAAATGACAAATATTCCAAGTTTAAATGTTACAAGTATAGATTGCTACATGTCCAAAAGTATGTCAACAACCCTTCTGATAGTGGTTAAGCTATTTCAGCCACACTCGTTGATAACAGGGGCATACAATTAGGCAAACAAACATAAACCCCTATAGACAAAACACTGGCAGGTGAATGGGTCACACTGAAAAGCCAGTTTGTCAAATTTCTGAAAGAGCAGCCCCAGTCAATTATAATTGCTGTTAATTAATATTGCGCCGCTAAGTCTTGAAGCGTGTAGCTTGCTGTTCCAAACTATCTCTGGAAGCAACGCCAGCACAAGAACTTTGTTGGGAGCTTTCACGGACTGGGTTTCCATGACAACCACGGCAGCCGAGCAGCCGCACGCAAGCCTAAGATCGCCACATGCAATGCCAAGTCAGCTGGAGTGGTGTAAAGCACACTGCCATTGGACTCTGGAGCAGTGGGAATGAGTTCTCTGGTATGATGAATCATGCTTCACCTTCTGGCAGTCTAACAGACGAGTCTGGGTTTTGACGGATGCCAACAGAACACTACATACCCGAGTGCATAGTGCCAATTGCGAATTTGGTGAGAAAGAAGTTGACTGGCCAGTACAGAGCCTCGATCTCAAACACCTTTGAGATGGAAGGCCACTTAACTGGAATGGCAACGAGTCAGGCCAGATCTAAACATCATTATCCTACCACACGGATGTTCTTGTGGCCGAATGGAAGTGAATGGCCACGGTTCCAAAATCTAGTGGAAAGTCTTCTCAGATGAATGAAGGTTACTACAGCACCAAAGGGGGGATCAACTCCAAACCCATGGTTTTGGAGTGAGGTGTCCAGCAGGCACATACGGATTGCGATGTTCAGGTTTCCCAACCGCAGCAGTCAGTCATTCTTGAGTGCAGACCAGTGCAGAAAAGGTTTTAGGCTTTTTTCATCACATCTATCAAGCTGCAACAAACGACTAATTTGATAGTCGAATAATCTATTGATTACCAAAACGAATAATCGATTGTTCGGATTATGACTCAATTACCAAATAACTCTTACGTAGCTATCAGCTTTTAAATGTAGCTTGCGATTGTTTTATGCATTTGGTAACTAACAATGAAGACAATAAAGATGAACTTTTTGAAAAATTCACAGTTTTAATGAACTTATAGCATAGATGATTCTCCATGTGCTGTGGAACTAGTGGTTCTTGGTCAGCAGATCCGCCTTAAAAAAATGTTTTGGAATAATTTGAATGTACCATGACCTTCACAAGTGGTGACCAGTGCTACCATCTCTGCACTTCATTGGTGAAAGTAGTTCAGAAGTCAGAGCAGACTTCATTTTTGGCACTGCTTTAGTACAAGAAAATATAAACAAGCTCTTGAACCTCCTTGCAGCTGTTCTGGATCCTTGATTTCAAAGTCTGATTCAGGGTCTACCCTGCGGTGCACTTGAGGTTATGGGAAGAGAAATTTTGTAGCAACGTGATCTAAACAAAAGCTGCTGCCTCAGTACCTCAAGACGTTTACTTGGCTCAGATTCCAGCAGCACGGATGGAGAGGAGGAACAGCAGCGTTACCATCAAACTGTACAAAATAAAGTGTTGATGTGCTTCAGACAACAGCCCATTTCCAAGAAAGAGAATCCCAGGTCATGGAGGAAAAAAATGGAATATGACTTCCAAACTTTTCCCATACTGGCCAAATCTAAAGCCAGTCATTCTGTAGACAAAAACCATCTTGTGGATCACTCAAAAGGAAAATGGAAGCAAGAAGACATGCCACAAGCAAGAAGACACGCCACAATCAGGCAAATCGCTTCCGAATTTAATATCAGTGTGCAGAATGTTGTCTCGGAATGCACCACTGATCAGACTTTGCCCCAAACAGACTACTGTAGAACAGCCAAAGGCCATGTCGAATGCCAATGTCAGCAAAGAACAAGAAAGCCCGTATGCAGTGGGCACATGAGCATCAAAACTGGACCGCTGAGGAGTGGAAAAAAAGTTGCCAGAGGGATGATTCCAAGTTATTTTTGCATCGTGTTGACGGAAGGAACTGAATTTGGCGCAAGCAACAAGGAGACATCCTGCTTGGTGTTAACAGTGCAGGCCAGTGGTGGTAGTGTGATGTGGGGAATTTTTCCTGGCAAACATTACAGCCCA